TTTCCTTCCTGGAAAGCAAGGAACCTCACTTCCGCCGCCCGCACCAGCTTCAGAAGGCGTCAGTCACATGAGCCGGCCGAGTGTCCGTCTGGGAAAAGAGTTTATTCTCCCCGGCCTCAACGCAATCCCTTTCCGCTTTAGTACACGTTTACTCCGGGTTACAGAACTTTCAATTACCAGTGAGCGTGATAATTCAATTTCCTAACTACTAGATTCATGAACTCAAAACAATTCTTCCCTCCCAAATGCCAAGCATCCTAAGGCCACACATAACGCAGTGCAGTGACGTCTCTCCCAATTCTCTTCTGAACCAGCAGGCCCCGCTTCCCTCTCAGGTCACAGGGGAGACCGACCGGCCTGAGCCCAAGGATGCCTCCTCCTCGGGCAGAGGTGCCTACAAGAAGTGGATTCCCGCCCGCAGCCAGGGGCAGGGGCACGCGGACCGCCAGCTCCACCTGGTGGAAGACGCAGGGCAGGCGGCACGGTCACTTCCGACAGAGTTCCAGCACCTTCTTCACCATGGCCCCGATCCCGTCGTGGATGTGGTGGAGCTCCGTCTCGCACATGAAGGCCGGGGTCGTGACCACCTTGTTCTTCTGGTCCACGTGAGCTTCGTGCACAGAAGTTATGGAAATGCATCACCTGGCAAGGACTAGGGGATCGCAGGTGCGACGTGTCCAGCCCGCGGCCGCCCCACACCAACCTGCAGCGGGCGCAAGTGCACCTAGAGCAAGAGGCCAACCCGGGACCTCCCTCTACACGAGCCACGTTCCTGTCCTGGTCACCCAGACACGAGCAGACACAGGCCTGGCCCTGTCCCATGCTAACAACATGCGCCCTCCTGCGCCCAACCCCAAGGCTGCGTGGCCAGCCCACCCGGACGGCTGTGGGCTCTGCTCCCCTCTGCACAGCGGGGAGACGGAGCGCCGCACCAGACACCGCCCACAAGGAGATAAAGGCAGCTTTGAGACGGACACCCAGAGGGACACGGTGTTGTCACCAGAGCCCCAGGGACACCGTGCCGCTCTACTCCTCAACCCTGGTCCACGTGGAGAGTCTGGGTCCAGCTGTGGACCCAGAACACGGTTGGCCTGTGGCCTGAGGCTCTGTGCGCACAGCACCCGGGCACCCACAGGAGGACCAGCGGCCCACGAGGCCACGTGGGATGGCTCCCCGTCCACAGCACCCAGGGAGCTTCCAGCCAAGCCAGGCAGCTCCCCTGTCCGTCTTCCACTGCAGCCCCCCCCACCCTGGGGCGCCTGCTGCCTCCGCCCCCGCCCAGAAACCTGACCCCACGGAGCCTGAGGCCGTGCACTCGCCTGACCAGGTGGCCTCGTGGGGCTCCAGGCCTGGGCAGTAGGTGTGACACCCGTCGTGCACGTGCTCCCAGACGCCCCAGCAGCACAGACCCTCGTTCAAGATGCTGCCTGCCTGGGTCCGTCCCCGAGGTCAGAAGACGGGTCGCCGCACCACACGCTACTGCCACCCCAGCTGCCGGAAAGGATATGGTCACTCCCTTCACGCAGTGCTTGGCGCCCAGCGCTTTGATGGCTTCCGCGGTCCCTGCGTAGGGCCACCTGCCGCCTTCCTCCTGCTCGTGGCCCACGGTGACCTCAACGCCACGGAGCACTTTGGCCGCGAGGACGGGAGCGATGCAGCACAGGCTGGAAGGCAGGACAGGGTGGGCTCAGGGCTACACGTGCGCATGCCAGGCCCGGGGCAGGACTGACCGCGAGGATGAGCCCAGCAGCGGCCGCTGGGCCACGGAGCGAGGAGTGTCGCAGCGACATGAGCCTCCGCTCACTGCCCCACGTGCTGCAGCCCCCGCAGCAGCGGGCCCGTGGGCAGTGGCCGCCCGCCGTGGTGGCCACAGAGAAGGGCTCTCAGAAGGCAACAGTGGACTTCAACCTGAGTTTTGGGTGGCTTTTCACACAGCAGCAGCTGACCCCAGGGCACGGACGTCCCAGAGACGCCCTCTCCGCAGAGGGTGTGAGAAGCGGTTTCAGCGGGCCAGTGAGTGTGCCCGGCACCACGGCAGCCAAGGGCCCCCCGACGAGAGCCCCGAGCCCCGCTACACCCCCAATGGGCCAATCCCAAGGTGTCGGAGGCTCGTGGTTCACTCTGGGTGCTCCCGCAGGGCTCCTTGGAGGCTCTGCTCACACCAGGAGGCCCCGCTGACCGGAAGCGCCAGACCCGGGCCCACCCACGGCCATGCGCACGGGGGACACATGTGGCACCACCACATGGCTGCAAGTTAGGCCGCCCCTGCCCTCCCTCAGGGCCCATGCACACCGCTGGCAGCCCCTGCCCGGCTCATGGTCAACACGGCCTGTCTGCGGCTCCCGTGTAGGCCCGCACGGCTCTGTCCCCAGGCTGCTCCGGCGAGCCGTGAGAGTGATGTCAACATACTTTCGTTCCTTCTCAAACATCACGCCTAAAACACGCGCTAGAAACGCATGGGAGAAAATCTCCCTCAGCCACCAAGGAGGCAGGAAGCCATCAGAACTGGCGTCCTGAAGCGCCCACGTCCCAAGCCCGGCGGCCGGGGCATGGGACACACAAGCCAGCAGTGTGGCCATCAGCCCTCGAGTGGTGCTGTTGGCACAGCCGCCCACCCTGCTCTCGGGCTGCGGACGCTGGAGCCGGAGGCTCTCGCTGGCACCGCTCAGGGGACACCCGAGCAAGGCAGCACAGCCATCGGGCCCCTCGCTCCCGCCTGCGCTCGTGATATGGGGTTGTCCCTGGCGCTCACCCACATGAGCGGAAGCTACTCCGGGGCTCGCGTCCCAGAAGGGGAGAGGCAGGGGGCAGTGCCGTCCCCCACTCCCGGGTGGCCCAGCTCGGTGTCTTCTAAGCCCATGGACTGCCAGCCTACGGACCCGAGGCCAGAGCCTTCCGTGAGGAGGGCTCCCGCACCGTGACCGGCAGGACTTCCGGCGAGTGACCCACGTGGGGACTGTCGTCACGCGACCCCGCTCACCCAGCCGCAGAGGCTGCCGCGCTCCCTCGTCCACACCCACGTTCAGCGCATCTGGCAGAGCTCCGGGGACGCTTCTCCCAGCAGCGGACCTGCGCCACCCCCACGCCCCGGCGCGCTTGTGCCGACAAGCCAGGGCGGCCTGCTCGAGTCTGGGTGTGCCTTGAACGCCGCCCCAGGGCAGGGGAGGGCGCTGGGCCAAGGAGCCCCAGCCCGCCTGGAGCGGGGATGGGACAGCAGACACCTGGCGAGGGGAGGAGGTGCTGGCAAAGCCGGGGGTCGGGGAAGGACTGACGCGGAGTCTTCTAGAAGCTCTCCCTCCTGTGAAGTCAGCAGAACGAGTTACCGCGACCACAGCATTTTCCCAGCGGGAAGGCGCCTGTGACGACGCGTGAGCTCCGACTGAAAACGGCCTCGAGGACCGCGCAGCCCCGCCCTCCCCCTGCCCCGACCTACCCAATGGGCTTGCCGGCCGCGTGGAACTCCTTCAGGACCCGCTCCACGTCCCCGTGGACCTTGCAGTCTTTCCCGTCAGCGGCGAACGTGCTCCTACCACGAGAAGAGGTGGCTCAGCTCTCACGGCCGGGGGTCGGCCTGCCCGGGGCCCCGACCCTACCCGGGAGAGGGCCGCGCGGCCGCGCTAACTCCCCAAACCCCGAGACGAGCAGGTCACGTGCGCGAGCGCGGGTTTTCAGGTAATCACATACGTTACTTTCTCTACTTCCAGCCCAGCGAGGGAGGGGGCGGCAGAGAGGTGAGGCGGGGAGGCCGGTCCCCGGGAGAACCACAGCCGGCAGGTGCCCGGGCTGCGGGCCACACCCACAGTCCTCAGAGGTCGGCTCTGTAAGCCAAGGAGGAGCAGGACATGCTGCGGGCCTGAAGCCGTGACCCGCCGTCCACGCACGAGGAAGACGCACGGGTTAGAGGACAGGACGCCGCGCCTCTCTCCATGCCAGGCGCGGCTCGGGGGTCTGGACGGCCTCCCCGCCCACCAGCTGCGCGCCGGCACCTCTCTAGGAGGCAACTGGTGAGCCCCAAAGCACACACATTCTCCCAGGAGCCCCACTCTGGCTCCCTGGCACACGCGTGTGCACACCTCCAGCCCGGGAACGTGTGGGCGCCACGGGGCTCCGGCAGCCTGCGGCCTGTGTCGGGGTGTGCCCGCGTGGCTGAGCTATCACGCGTCACGCTTTATTACACATCAACTATGTCCCCCAGAAGCCAGTAGCAGCCCAGACGCGAGGCCTGGAAACCACGCGTGTCCATCCAAGTTGGGGCGTCTGCCCGACGGGGTCTGTGCGTGCAGCCATGAGGTGCTTAACAGGCCACCAACAAGCTACCGTTTGTGACACACACAAAACAGAACAAGAAGCTTAACAGGCCTCCAACTGGTTACGCTTTGCTTTTTTTAAAAAAGACGTTATCTCAGAAAGCGAGAACGTGTGTGTGCGCGCAGAGGAGAGAACAGAGAGAGAGAAACGTCCAGCAGACCCCCGTGCGCGGAGCTCCCGCTCACAACCCTGGGACCACAGCCTGAGCCGAAACCAAGTGCTGGACACTCGCCCAACCGCGCCAGCCCGGAGCCCGGTCAGACTTCACACGACCACACGGAGACCTCTCAGACGTACACGTGAACGGGCAACTGGGGCAGCGACGGGCCCGAGGCTCCCCACAGCAAGAACTTCTGACCCCAGCGAGCTCGCCTGCCGCCCCTCGCTGCGTCCCACGGCCCAACCGGCAGCCGTGGCGAAGGGCACCAACCCCACCGAGCTGACGTTTCTTCTCGAACGGCCGGGATGAATGAGGCAGGAGACCTGAAGCCCCAGCTTGCCCGGGGGAAGGGTGAGTTCACAGATGGGGGCGCTGACCCAAGGCCATGGCTCCCTGGAACGCAGGGCAAAGACCTGCCAACAACCTGCTCACCTCCCTCCTGTGCTTCTAGGTCAACCGCGTGTGGTCATCAGCTGTGCCACGGGCACAACCCGAGCACAGCCCGAAAGTGCCCTCACCTGGGCGCGGGGGGGGGGGGGGGAGAGGCAGGCAATGGTCAGAGTTCAGGCTCACCTTCCCCAGGAAAAGCCCCAGGGCCTGGCAGAGTGAAGCCAACGGAGGCCACTCCCCGCCAGCTTCTGCCTGGTGCGCGTGCAGGCGGTGGGGATGAGGGCAGCTCACCCGAGAGGCTGGCATTTGGAGGACGGAGTGGACAGGAGGGCGAGGCAGGGCTCCCAGAGGAGGAAGCAGTATGGGAACCGGCTCCACAGGCGGAACAGCGGCTCGGGACCTGGACAGAGCCGTTCGGGTGTCTGCAGGCCGAGGGGAGCCAGGCGGCATCGGAACACCTCAGGTCCCTAACTGTGCCCCTCACTTCTGGCTGCAGGGCACCGGGACACAGCGAGCCAGGACACTGCTGCAGGGGGACGGCGCTCGCCAACCAACCAAACAGGGTGCAGGGGGCAGTACTCACTAGGGTCCCAGGCTCGATCCCTGCCCCACCCCATACCCTGCACACAAGGAGTCCAGAGGGAGGCGGGGCTGACAGGGGACGGTCCAGGTGACAGAATATCGACAGGACACTGTGGTGCGAGCCTGGGGCAGGCAGCCGGCCACGCAGATCAAGAAGGGGGGAGGTCTGCGGTCCAGATACAAACAGAATTCCTGGCGGACGTCAGAGAAGGGCGCCGGGACAGGAGGGGAGGCAGCGGGGGAGGAGGGGGAGAAGAGGAGCCCGCCGCAGGAGGCACGGTGGGGGGAGACCTTCGAGAGGAGACCCGATGGCACAGCAAGGAAACCCAGCGGGTGCTCGCGGGCCGAGGCTCTGCGGGAGGGCGCCAGCAGCATCCCACACCCGCCTGGTCTGGGAGCGGGGGGAGCAGGGAGGCGGAGAGGGGGCCGGCTGCCTGAGCTCACAGCCAGCCACACCGTCAGGGGCGCCTGGCCGTGGGCCACAGCAGCCAGCTCGTCTGCGATCCAGGGAGATGCTCCCCGTGGAGCCCAGTCTGCGGGGTCTCCACTGAAACCCGCCAAGTCCAGGCTGTTACCCCCACTAGGGTCCCCGTCTGACCCCAAAGCAGGCGACGCAGCTGCTTCCTGTCCTCCCACGCCAGCCGCAGTGGGGCTGCCTCGGAAGGGACAAGCCGGGACGGCGCGGCCAGCACAGAGCACTTCCGTGAGGCACGCAGACGGGTGGAGAAACGGGAAGAGAAACAGGACCTGAAACCCAAGAGACGTCACGCCGATGTGATGACAGCTTGTGCTCCGGCTACCATGGCAACGACCGGAGAACAAAATGAGGAAGGGCTCCCTTCCTCCCGTCAGACCAGCCTCCACACAGCCCGTGGGGACAGCTGCTTCCCTGCCACCAGGCCCGCGAGGCGGCGGCGTCCGTGAGGAACACGTGCAGGGACGCAGGTCCTGATGGGACCAGCCCGGCCAGCGCGTCGCTGGATCAGAGGAAGCCCACGCCGCCCCCACCCCACGGCGGCTGGTACCGGAACACCCAGCAAGAAGTGAGAGAAACCTGCGTCCCGCTGACGTTACACCAGGGCCCCGACAGAGCAGCTCTGTGCAGCCTCTGGGACCCCATGCCCCGTCCCTCGCGGCGCTCCAGCACTCACAGGTTCTTAGCGGCCCCGAAGCCTCCGGGGAAGATGGCGGCGTCATGATTGGCCGCACTGAGCCGGGCCAGGTCGGTGATCTTGCCGCGGGCGATCCTCGCAGACTCCGTCAGGACGTTCCTGGGAGAGAACAGAGAGGCCAGAAGTCAGCGTCCGGGTGTGGAGAGCAGAGCCGGGCTTGCGGGAGGCCGGCCCGTGAGCAAACGCGCGAGCGCTGACGGTCGGCGTCTAGAAAGACGGCCTCGCCCCGCACAGCATCTGGCCCGCTTAGCCCTGGGCCTGACGAAAGCTGGCGTGGGAAGGTCCAGGTCCGCAGAGGCGGAGGAAGCAAGCCAGGGCCCGCCCCAGCAGGAGACTGCGCTGTGCCTGGCTGGACCCCGCGGCCGGAGCAAGACGGGAGGGCCAGAGGGACCTCAGCGTGTGCCAGACTGCACGGGCCTCGGGGACAGAAATGCTCCAAGACCGGGGCCCAGCCAGGGGCAGGAGACAGGAGCCACGCTGACCGCAGGGCAGGGGATCACGAAAGCCAGGCAGGAGGACTTCCGGCAGGCGGAAGAAGGTAACGAGCGCCACCACGACACGGTCGCGGGACAGCCCGGAACGCAGCCAGATCCGCGGCAGGGACAACGCAACCAAGCCCACGGGGTCTCGGGCAGCTTCCAGCAGGTCCTGGTCCACGCTCAGCACTCGGGGAGGGACCCACACCTGGTCTCGCTCTCGGAAGGCTGCCCCTTGGTGTGGTCGACCACGTGCATCTGAGGGATGTCAGGAGCGAAGATCTGGACCTCGGCCCCGCCGCGGCTCAGGTGGACCAACACCCTGCGTGGGAGAAAAGGACACAGATTCCGAGACACAGCAGACCCGGCGCTGCCTGTCACTCCGCACGCATGGGCAGCGCCCCGCAGAGGGCCCCGTGCACACCCCTTACGGCGGCTACCATCACGGGGCCTTCCCGCAGGCTACGGCTGGCTGACCAAGGACCCCCACGTCCACAGTTCAGATTCGCTGCCACCGAACCAGCCTGGAGAGCCCAGCTGGTCCCCCAGCTCCCTCTACAAACCGGGTGCAGGGGACGGGCGACCGGGCCGGTCCCAGCCTGGAAGTCTCGGTTCCCAGGATGCTTTGGGGGCTCTTCCTCCCACAGACGATCGACGCAGGACGGGAGGGCTGAGTCGGACTTCGGTCAGGACAGGAGGTTCGAGTCCTGCTCTGCCCCACCCTTCCTGTCATAGCCAGAGGGCCAGGGGAGAGACATCCAGGTCTCCCTGAGGGCTGATCTGTTCCAGGCCCGGGGCTCTCACTGTCCCCCTTCAGAGGCGGTGTGAGCGGGTAGGGCCAGCACCGCCCCATCACTCAGGCTCGGCTCCTTGTAACCTGCAGGGCTCTCCGCACTCGGCTCCGTGTCCACCCGCTACCCCGTGCTCCCCTGTTCTCGTGTCCCGGCCCCGAGCCCCCATCTGGAAGCTTTCCTGGCTCTCCACTGCCCACCAGCTCTGCACGCGCCGAAGTCCACTGTGGGCCGGTGCCCACGCTGGATGGGAGGGCAGGCGCAGGCTGGGGGGGCCTCGGGCTCCTCTGGGCTCCCTGTGGCCCCGCACCGGGAGGGACATGTCCCCCAGCCACGCGCTAACTCTCCTCCAACCTGCTCCAGGCCCACAAGGCCTAGCGCTCTGGCGCACAGAAGCCTTTTCACTCAGGTAAGAGAAGGATGAGCGACCACTGATGGGTCCCATCAAAGACACGGCCGAGGCGGGAGGCTCACCCAGAGAGCCAGGAGGACGCCCACGCCCCCGGGCCTCGGAGGGAAGCAGCAGGCGCTAACAGGACACCGGAAGTGCTCCCTGCTTATCTGTGGGGCACAAGGCCACGGACTCGAGGGGCTCCCTGCCCCTCACTTCTCGCCTCACTGGTTTCTGCCTGTCTAGACGAAGGGTCCCCAAATGGTTCAGGAAAAAGCAACCGTCCTTGAGGGCTTACGCTGAGGCCTCGTGGAGCTCAGTCCCATCGTAGACTCCACATCCAGACAGCACCTGTGGGGGAGCGGGGGTCAGGGGGGAGTCCACCAGGAAGCCGCTGGCCTGGGGGGGGGGGGGGGCGGGGGGGGGGGGAGGGCCGGGCCCAGGGAAGAGAATGGAACTGACCCTGGAGGGACAGAGGTAAGGGTTGGGCAGGGGTGGGGTTGGGGGTTAAGGGAGGAGCCTGGGGGCCCAACCCAGAGAGGGGGTGGCCGAGGGGCTAGGGGGCCTTATCTGGGGGAGCAGGGGGAGCAGCAGCAGAGGGTTTAGGAGGCCGGCCTGGGGGAGAGCAGGGGGCCCGGCCTGGGGGTGGAGGAGTGCGGTGGGGGTGGGTTGGGGGCACGACCTGGGGGTTGGAGGGGTGCGGCGGGGGGTTGGGGGGCCGGCCGGGGGGGTGGAGGGGTGCGGCGGGGACTTAAGGGGCCGGCCTCGGCGGCAGCCCCGCCCCCAGCCCCGCTCGCCGGCGTCCGCTCACCAGAGCGACCCTGGCCCCCGGGCGCGGCGCCGAGCCATGGAGGGCCGCGCGTGGGGTGGACGCGTGAAGAGGCGCGAACGCGGAGGCCGCACGTAGCCTGGACGCCACCAGGGCCCTGACCGCCGCCATGACTGCGCGGAGACGCGGGTCGCAGGGTCACGCGGTCACAGAGCCCCGCGCGTAAACAGCGTGCCCCGCGCCTGCGCAGTCGGCCCGGCCGCCGTCCCGCGAGCACCCCCCCGGTAGGCGGGGCCGCGCCTGCGCACTCGCCCTCCCGCACTAGATCGTTGCCCGCGGGCCCGGGAGGGTTTCTCCGTTGAACCCTTCTAGGTGTTTCCCAGGAGTCAGTTCGCGGGAGACTCCTCTAATCTACCGCATTTCCAAGTGCGGCAGCTGTTCACGATGCTAAGTGGTCCCCGCGGCGGCCCCGGGCTGCGGACGCCCGGCAGGTGGACGCAGGGCCGTGCCTGCCGCGGGTGTGAGCACTGCCCGGGGCCGCCCTCGGCACAGAGACCCGGGGAGGCGGCAGTAACAGGACAGGAAACGGCTGGAGCCGAGGAGGGGCTTGGGCGGTCCCGCTCCTTTGCTCCTGACCCTTCAGGACGGGCCCGGGACCCTTCCCTGCAGCCGGGCATTCTCCCGCGGGATCCTGGCCTCTCCCGGCTCCTGGGGCCCAGCCCACCCTCCTCCTCCCCCCTCAGGGTCCAGAACGGGAGCTGGCAGGAGGGACGGGGTCGCGGGATGATACCGACGTGCCCTAGGTCTGCCCCACCCTGAGGAAGGTCCTGCTGCGGATTCTGATTCCGCCGGGCTGGGAGCCACGAGGCCACCTCTCCACCAAACCCGTGGCAGCTCCGGGCCCTGCAGAGCCCCACCTCCCAGTCGTCTGCACCGCCGGGGCGGCTCAGCGGCATTTTAACCTCAAAAATAAAACTGTTTTACCAACAAAAACGTGTTCACTGGAGAATAGCAGAGCTGTAGCCCGTGAAAAAGAACCTGCAGGAAAACTGAAACCACAGGCAAATCAGGAAAACAGGGCAGAGGAGCCTCTTTATAGAGGAAAAGGAAGCTGGGATTGTAGAAACCAAATCCATTAGAGTGAACACGGAGTGGGTAGTGCAGTGGCCTTTCACTGGCTGGGCCCTGCCACCTCGCACTGGCTGTGACATCTCCCATTGGCTGGGGAGCAGGTGCCCAGGAGGGACAGGGCTGAGGGCTCCCCCTGCGGGCCTCCAGACTCCACTCCAGAGGACAGTTCATTTGTCAACTTCCTGGACTTCATCGGGCACACGTGAAACTTATCAAAAAGCAGCGGTGACGAGCTGCAGTCGCAGCTGCGGGCACCCAGTGACAGCAGGGGCCCGAGCACACACACCATGGGTGCACAGCCCGGGTCACAGAGCCCAGGAGCAGGCGCAGGTGGCCTGAGGAGCCCCAGGCTGAGACCCAGCAACCGCTGTACCCACCCACTGTACCCAGTCCAGAAAGTGCTGCACCCAGCTGGGCCCGGTTTCCCTGCTCCTGAGTGGAGGCTGCCTCCACCGAGCCTCAGGGACCAGGACAGGGGGGCTGACGGGAAAGCACAGCTTGTCTCCTCCATGTGGCCCTGCAGAGCCGGCACAGGAGGTCAAGTGAGCTCCCCAAGAGCACAGTCCAGTCCCAGCCCCAGGGATCCCCATGTGTCCCTCTCCAAAGTCAGAGTTTACAGAGACTCCAGGAGACTCCAGAGGCAAGACAGCCTGGGCTGGGGGCCATGCAGGTCGGGGGCCGTGTGGGCTAGGGCGTGGCGGGCGCTCCAGCTGTCCCGCTCACCCATTCCCCCAGCACAGAGGCCAACAGGCAGGTGACCCCAATGATACAAACACTTTCGATTCAAAGTGCAGATTTAATCCACACTTTTATCATAGAAAACCTCATTTTTTTTCATCTCCAAATCATCAAAACTGTATTAAAAATATAAATAATGGCCACACAAAGTTCGAGTCTATAAAAACGGACCCATTCATCTCTGTAGACCGGCGTCTCCAACAGCAGACGAGCGACATTCACCTTGGCTCACAGCACACAGCTCCCGGGACCATGTGCCAAGCCGGTGCTGGCCCGGGAAGTAGGTGCCGTCCTCCTGTTGGCGTCTCCGCGCCGCCGCCCTCACGTGCTTCCCTGGGCCCGGGCCACGGGCTCCGTCTCAGCAGCGGTCCTCACGGAAGCAAGCAGAGCCGCAAGCGTGGCCGGTCCTACACCAGCTGCCCGTGCCCGTGCCCGTCCCCGTGTCGCACGCCCGGCAGGTGCAGAGTGTCGTCAGACGCGTCTGCTTCATCGTCGCTCCCCGACAGCTGTGAGGGGCGTTTCAGGCCGCGCTGCTTGGACACCGCCAGGGCGTACTGGATGTTATACCGGTTCCAGTCACAGCTGTTCAAAGTGCACAAGAGTCCTATCAGGCAAAGTGACCGCTCTCCTCTCCTGTGGGCGCCCCAGCACCTTCCCTGGGACCCCGAGAGCAACTGGCCACAGGTGACCTAGACAGCCTCCCCGGCAAGACCAGATCCCAAGGGAGGGGCTGCTACCCGGCTTCACACCCATTCAAGGGAGCAGAGAGGGGGCCCCCAGACTCAGTTCATGCCCCACGTGAGGAAAGTAAAGAGAAAAATCACACCCGTGTTTCCATGGAGGAAACCACCCGGTATGGACGAGCTCAAGGCAAAGGACTGAGAAAACCACTGCCCTGTGGGAAACCTCAACAAGATCCAGTTCGGCGACGTAACCGGAGCCCCCAGATGAATACACAACAGTGAGCTGCGTCCCCACATCAGCGCAAACCACCACACGTGGGCATCCCAGCAACGATGCGTTTACGGGATCGCCACGTTACAAGGAGCCCCGTCTCTCGGACGGAGCTCTGCAGAGTCACAGAGGCCCCAACAAACAGCAGGGCGGCACTGACACAGGACCCCCACGGCATCTCAGCGGGCGGCCAGGACTCTCAGAAGAAAAGCCTCCAGGAGGAAGGGCTTCCGCAAGGCTCCAAAAGACCAAAGAAGCCGTCAGGGACAGAATAGGCCCCTGCCTGCGGGCGCTGGGCAGACACAGCCAGGGCAGGGAACATGCCGCTGGGGATGGAGTGGGGACCCCTGGCCACGGGCCCTGAAGGCAGCCCTGGACCCCAGGTGCTCTGCATGCCCACCCCTCCACTCAACCTCAGGGCAGGGGGCAGAAGAGGCGTGAGCCAGGAAGAAAGTAGTGGGCGACAAGACAGAGGCTCCTGACCCCACACGGCACTCCTTCCTCCGCTGGTCTGATGGTGGAAGGTACTGGTTTCACTGGGAGAGCACTCTCTTTTCAACTGAGCGCTCTTTTCAGCTCCTGGCCACGCCTGAAGCTGGGACCTTGAGTCCCACCATGGGGCAGCCCCCCGTGTGGAACCAGCTGGGGATGGGGCCACCCCCCAGCACCGCCCACCCCACCCACGGCAACACATACAGCCTGGAGACGTCGTCCAAGTGCCTCTGGATACTCTTCTGGAGGAACTGAACGGCTGGCAGCACCTTCCCCGCCCTGCACAGGAGACCCGCCTCAGTGCATGGCCGCAGCCCACCACCATGAGGTCCCGCTCGTGGGCGCGCACGCAGGCTCCCGACCTACAGAGCCCAGCCGATGGACGGGACCACAGCCGACCCTGGGGAAGCGCTTCTGACCTGCCCTTCAACTTCTGCCCGTGCACCAGGAGCAACTTCTGCGTCCATATGAGGTAGAACTCCAGGTGGCAAGACACTTCGAAGGATGAAGCCAAGAACCCCAGCACTCTCTCCACGTACAACTCCGGAAGTGAGGAGCTGACCACTTCGACTGCAGGAGCAGAAGAAAACTGGGCTTGCTTGGCAGGGACGGCTCCCATCGGGAGGAAAGGGGAGGACGGCTCTGCAGAGCCCCGAGCCCGGACATGGGGTGCTCCCGGCCCCTGGGGGCCCACCCCAGTGCTCACCCTCCTCCCAGGGCACCGACTCCAGCGCCTCCTGCAGCAGCTTCCTCTCATTGAGCCGGAAGGCCATGAGGATGGCCCTGGTGTAGTCCTGCTGGCGCAGGGCCACCCGGATGCGCGCAGGGGTGACACCAGTGTCTAGCTCGAACGGGTCAAACAGCATCTGCGTGTCCAGGGAGTAGACGAGGAGTCCCTCGGTGGTGGTGGCTGCCCAGCAGCGCCCTGGATAATGAAGCCGTCGAGAGCCTTCCCGAACACTGATTTTCACTTTCCCCCACTTTTTTAAAGAACGGGTGGGTACTGGGTACGTTCCCATAGTCCCAAACGCCAACAGCAAGAAAGGCGCATGGGGATGCCATCCTCCCACTCCCGCCCCAGCCACTGGCTCCTCTGGGAGGAATGGGGGGGGTGGTGCCAGGGTCGCGGACACAGGCTTCCCCCCCCTCCCCACTAGCGCGTGCTCACGGGAGCAGACACGCTCGTGTGCACCAGGCCCGGTCAGCTCCCCGCAGGGGCACACACCCGTGTCTGCGGGCCACGTAGCCTCAGCTGAGACACTGTAGCGGCACCGTGGAGCCCGGAGATGACGCCCGGACAAGAAGCGCCGCGGGTCAGAAAACCGCAGGCCCCTGAGCGAGGGGCTCCCAGTGCTGTCCCTGGGCCATGGTCTGCAGCCTAGCCCGCACAGTGGTACATGGCCACGCACGGCTCTGCGCCCCGCTGGGGAGTGTTGCCTATCACCCCACACTAGCCCACTGCAAGCATCCGTGTCCTGCCCGCTCCATGGGACCACGTTTACCTGATGGTCCCAGGCCCTGTGGACACAGACCCTCCCCCGCGGCCCCTCAGATGACTGCCACACGAGAATGGAGCTCAGGGTGGGTGCCCGCCTCCCCATTTCAATGCCCAGTGAGTCCACGGCCACCCTCTTCACTGTCCTCTGGAGAACAGCAGGACCCAGGGCCAGCCAGAGCGGTGACCAGCCCTGTCCCTGGGAGCAGAGGTGACAAGCCCAGTGTGCACCGGAAGCCCAGTGGGACCACCCCTGCCCTTCCCAGCTCCAACAACCCACCACTCAGGGCTCACCGGTGGGAGAGAAGCGAAGGGAAGTCACCCTGATTTCAGGCTTGAAGTGCCGAGAGCTCATGTCACCTGGAAAACAGGGCAGCACCTCCCTTACCACTCACAGGACGAAGGCAGGGACCCGCTGCTCTCCCCTGGCCTT